ACCAAGCCCTACTCACAGCAAATCTTACATCCCAATCACCAAGCTGCTGGCATTCTACCAGCCCCTCAGCAAAGCCAGCAACAGGAAATCACTACCTCTTAAGACATTCCATTTTCTGGCAGCTGAAATTGAAAGTTCTTCCCTCAAGCGGGGTCAAAATCTGTCACTGTTTTGAAAAAAAAAAAAAAAAAAATAGCAGAGCCAAAGACAAGGCTCTTTTCATCTCATTAGAGAATTTTCTCTTGACTGACATTCAATCTGCATAAATCTATATGTGAACATCACCAGTGTAGCTAGGTGGGCCATGTTGCTTTGTGGCTAACACCACAGTATAGGAGCCAGGCACAGCAGCTGCCTGTCTTTGAGGACTAGGCAGCTTCCTTAATTCTTCCTAGTTCTCTCACATGTCAAATGAAGACAAATTAGTACCTTGCCTGACACGGCTGTGACCTCTAAGGTACATCAGCCAAGGATGTAAGCTCAGGTGTCAGAGGCATGCCTGGAACCAGGTTAGCAACAAGGAAGTTCTGCGGCTTTATGTTACATGGACATCAAAGACAGAACCCAGAGGCCTGACCTCGGTCATTCTTTCCCTTTGGTGTTCCCATTCTTTGGCACAGGTTTTCTGGAATCAAAGGACAGGGACTACCACCAAATGCTTTCCTTAGTATGAACCTACACAGATTTGGAAGCAGTGATGTGCTGTGCTGACCACATTATGTCTGAGTAGACTTGTGTTACAACAATTTGTCAAAAGGAGATCACCTGGAGAGACAAGTAACTGACAATCTCTGCATGGTGCTCACCAAATGGTACTGACAATAGTCTCATCCTGTGGTTTCCAGTTTATATTCTGAACTATGTCTGTACATTAAAAGTGTGTGGGGGGGTGGTGGAAAACAAAGTAGAGTTCCTAACTTTGTGTTTTGTCAACTTCAACTTAGTTTTTTTGTTTTTGTTTTTTTAATCTAGCAAAAGAATATATCCCAAATCAAGAAAGTTAGGAGGTAACTATTATGATAAAGCTCATGATGAACCTTGGTGTATTCCAAGACAGGTGAAGGTAACCGAGGTGAGGGACAAACATGCCAGGCAGACAGAGCTTAAGTGAGAAGTTTTATTAGAAATGGGAGGGAAGGAGAAAGGAAAGAGAAATGTGGTAAAGAGACACAAAGACAGAAGACAGAAGAGAAGAGGGAGACAGGAAGACCTTTCTGGCCCAGGGAAACAGAAGGAAAGAGAGAGGGAAAAAGAGCTTGGACAATAGTTTCTTTTGTTTGTTTTGTTTTGTTTGTTTTTCAAGACAAGGTTTCTCTTGTAACAGCTGTAGCTGTCCTGGACCTCACTTCTGTAGACCTGGCTGGCCTTGAACTCACAGAAATCTGCCAGCCTCTGATTCCCAAGTGCTGGGATTACATGCATTCGACACCACTACCTGGTGACAATATTGTTTCAATCAGTTAAATGAATAAATTGTCTCAAAATTGACTGTTATGAGGTCACAATCTTTCACAGGCAGCAAGGGACCCCCCTCTGGGCCTATTGTGATGCAGATTCAATCCCTATATTTCAGGAACCTCTTCCCTTCTACACAAAACTTGGTACCCTGGAGGTCTTCATATGCTTACATACATAAATACACACACAGTTATATACTTTAATATGTAATACTCTCTATCTCCTAAAAGGAGAAATGACTGACAGCTATACAATATAATGCTAAGAAAACAAGATTCATATAATGAGCTAATGACAAAGAGAATGGTAACTAAGCTAACACAGTACTTTACTCCAATTATAGGCTCAGATGCAATTCTCTTGAGATGTCCAGCATGAAATAGCAGTGTTTCTCTTGCTCCTAAATCCAGAAGCTAAGGTAATAGACCAACTAAGCAGGGTGGTGTCCTTGTGTTCAATCATTCACTCAGTCATAGCTCAGTGTCACATTTCAGGTATCATGTAAGATACCAGGATCACAAAGCTAAATTTAATACAACCCCCATCTCAAAGAGCTTCATGAACCAGGAAAGTTGAAAATTACTAACATAAACCAGAATCTGAATTAAATTACTAGTCATTTTCTTCAATTTTCCTTACTTAATAAATGATGGGGTCATTTTAACCTTAGCATTAAGGCCTAACAGAACACATAATAAAGGCACACACACACACACACACACAAAAAAAAAAAAAAAAAAAAAAAAAAACAATTGATTTTGTGTTCTAATTTTCATCTGCTTATTGAATTAAAAGTTCAAACTTCGGGCAACTGAAGTAGGATATCCTTGGACCTAAGGCAGTAAGCCAAAACATAACGTGTAATACTATATCATTGAACAATCACTTCTTGTTCTGTGTGCCTGGGTAAAGAAAGCCACAGGTGACTTGGACCCCTGACTACAATGAAGACCAGAACTGTATGAGCCAAACCCTCAGTAAGAGTGCTGCCCTAGCTTAGGTCTTTATAGTGGTTTGTTCATTGTCCTTTTTGTAGTGGTAAGGAACAAACCCAGTGCCTTGCACATATTAAGCATGCTAAGCACACAGTCTACCATGAGCTACAACCCTCACTACTCTAGGTGGTTAGATAACAATACTTTCTGCTTGCTTTCCAGTGTACATGTGTAGAGTACCATACTGTGGGCAGAAGACAGACATCACAGATTTGACATCAGAGTTAAGACAGAAAGGTGATCACAATGGGATGCTCAGCCAGAGCACAACCTTGAAGAGCATGGAAAAGTGGGAACAAGAGAGTAAGAACAGGAGAGGCTTGTTGGGGAACATTATTTTAAGGTGTGTGACTTTTGTTTATGCTGCATTTGTTTAACTCTCTGAAGCTGTGTTACTGTGCCTGTCTAAAACACCTAATAAAGAGCTGGAGGGCTGATAGCCAGGCAGAAGCAAGAACAAGTGGAGTTGGCAGGCAGAGAATATAAATAGGAGAAATCTGGAAGTGGGAAGACTTAAGGGGCCAGCTACCTCGCTACACAGTCAGACTAGGAGTAAGAAAGAAAGGCATACAGGAATAGAGAAAGATAAAAGCCCTAAAGGACAAAGATTGATGGGATAATTTAAGTTAAGAAAAGTTGGCAAGAAACACACCAAATTAAGACTAGGCATCCATAACTAAGAATAAGCCTCCGTGTATTTATTTGGAAACTAGGCGTTCCCCTCCCCCCAAAAAAAAAAAAAAAAACCAAAGAGTAAAACATTGCACAACAGAGGTTAGAGGTTAGGCAAGGGACAAGACTCTGTAATTCAGGATCAGCTCAGGGTTCTGTAAGGATAAGTGAGGAGCAAAGAGAAAATGGACATCAGAGTTACCAGGTATGCAAGTATGGAGTTTAGGAATGACATGAGCTTTCATGAAAGAAAAACTAATATAGGTCAGCAAGTTTCTTAACAGGCAATTAAACAGCAGACAGTGTTGTTTCTAGGAAAAGTATACTACTCACAGTCAGGAACTGAAGTTAAAATCTTCTGAAGAATTTTTTTATCAGTAATTTTAAAGACTAATTCTTCACTAAGAAAATTCTTTAACCATATTCATACTCACTGACACTTTTCCTAAGCATATCTTACATTCAAAAGTTAATTTTAAAAGACAAGAAATGAGCATTTACAGCTAAGACAACATTGTTTTTAGTGTCAAAGCAGAGTTGTTGAGGAGGGGATCAGTTGTCTAAGAATCAGGCAGTTGAAAGTAAAGGCAAAGTTCAACAGCTCACAGGCACCTGGTCAGCAGGCATACTGTCTCCCTTGCTGTTTTTAAAATGCCTACAGTAGCGAACACCAACAGAAAACATGCACAGGGAGCAAGGGTTACTCAGTACAGAAAGGGTTCAACAGTAAACACTGAGCAAAAAGACACTAGTACAATCCAGAAAAATGTAAGTCTAATAATAAAGTCTAAAAAACAATAAATGTTGACATCTACTTACACAGAGCCAAAGGTTGGTGCCTTAATTGTTTATCCCTACTGACTACATTTTTTTAAGTTTCCACATTTGTTAAATTACTATCTACAAAGTTTTACTTATCTTATTGAAGTAATGATTCTAGGATTTCTTTTCTGACATAACAAACTGGTATTTGGTCATAGTTTAAGATAAGCCTTCCAACAACATGTCTGGTTATTTGCCCAAGAATCTTATTAAACAACTGATTTTCTTTAGTTACTGCATAATTGGTACATAAGTGAAGAAATTAATCAAATAATAGTTTTTCCACAGTAAAATTGTTCCCTATGAATCCCTACTTCTATTTCTAAGGTTCTTCATCTAGGGTAAATTTGTTCTCAAGTCTTTCTCAAGCATGACCCTAAGAGGCGCTCGTGTGCACACCCGTAGATAGGGCAATGCCTGAAGACACTCTGGTTGTGTTCAGAACATGACAGCTAGTTAGCAAGAGATGGGGTGCCATAGGCAATTAACAGATATAGGCCAAAGATGTAGGGATGGCTGTCAGCTCAGGACAGCTCCTCACACAACAAAGAATTGCCCAGACAGATAGGTCAATAGTGCCTCTACTGGGAAACAAATTCTAAACTGAAAACAGAAAAAACAAATTTGCACACAGCTGGCAACCTCAAAAAAACAAAACAAAACAAAAAACTGCAGAGCAATTCAATGTCTGCTAAGCTTAGAGACACAGACATGCTTTTCATATACTCATAGCACATAAAAATGATGATTGTCAGTCATGAATTCATGAGGTGCTAACACATATGTACAGCAAAAAGTGCTTCCACTACCCAAGCAACTGGATACTTCTTTACATGAACATTTCGGATGGCAGAATAGAAAACGAGGTAGTTATGCTCTTGGAAGTCACTTTCTGAGTCAAACATCAATTATGTCTAGCCTATTTATTTTCTTCTTACTTGTAAATGTTTTCTAACTGGAGACTGTTTAAAAATAATAGAAAGGAAAAGTTCACCCCACAACACTGTTCCGTAAAACTTCAGTCCAAAAACACATTAGAATTCTGAAATTTACCTGGCAAAAGGACTGGCTCCAGTTTTTTAATCTTCGGTTCGGAACTGCTCTTATCGTCAATCTGAAACACATGGACAAAATAAAGCATAATACAAATGCCACCCCCTCATAAGACACTAAGGCAAATCATCTAAGCGATGACACATGCGACAGGCATATCTCCTACTTAAAACTCTTTCCCGTCCCAATCGAGATTGTTTTAAGATCTACTCATTATCGACTTGAGAGCCTGACCATAAACACCTTTACAACAGCCCAAGCCGCTTTCTAAGTGCTCACAAGTACTAGACAGGTAAGTTCTACCGGTGTCGCGGCGCTGCAGCCATCTGGTAGCCACAGCTGGGTCGGTGGCCGACCCTGAAGAAAAGAAACTCAGCTCGGGACGGTCCCTAAGGTCTCGTCACACGGCAGGGCTAGGGACCGCAGGACTTCGGCCAGAGAATGGCCGCCGCGGAGCTCTACAAGTTTCCACCGCGCCCGTGGCTCCCGGGAGGCGCGCTAGTCCGCGTCGCTCGCGTCCAGGTCCCGAGCGGGCGGCCCGCGGAGGCGCGAGCACCGAGCGCTTACCTGGGGCGGCGGCAGGAGGTAGGACCTGAAGCTCGGTCTGGGCGGCTTGAGGGAGAACATGGTGCCGCCGCCTGTGCACCCCGGCCCTGTGGCCGGCCAGACGCCCTCCGGGATCAGCGTCCCCGGTGCGAAAGCGCAGTCAGGGTCTGCGGCCCGCCCCGCCGGGCAGACTGACGGGCAGGGATCAACGCCGCCAGGGGCCCGCCCGCGGTGGGCGGGGCCAATCATAGACACGCCCATCCCCGGAAGCCGCTTGCGGAGCTGAAACCAAAGCTCCCAGCCTCTAGGCCTCACTCACTGTGGCGGAAAGCATCGCTGGAGCCGGGAGCCGCTGGGCCCCTAGAGGCCATCTTGAGAGAATGCTCTTACGGAGGCCCACAGGGGTCATGGCGGCCTTCTCGCGCCTACTGCGCCTCACTTGGCTCAGGAGGCCACGCAAAGCAGCTGTGGGTTGTGGTGGACGCTGTGCAGTGTCGCTGCTGTCCAGTTCTCAGGATTCTCTCATCTGGCGATAGTTGCTGCCCGTTAGTCATCCCTGCTGAGCTGCTAGCATTGGTTTTAAAGCAAGAGAGGTGCAGATTGGGGAAGAGAACCCGGGGCAACCCGAGGCCTCACAGTTCCAGTTGTCTGCATGTTGGAGGACCCAAAGATCTAGGCATCATCGCAGACCTGGTTGCCAAAGTAGATATCAAAGAAACAAGGAAAGATTTTTCTTTTACCTCTTGCTACCAGTTGACCTAACCTTGAGGTGCAGATGTGACCCATGCTGGGTGACCAGGACAGATGATACTGGCTGGCAAAGCCGAATCCCCAATTTAGTTTACTGATTTTATTCTTCTCGTTAAACTTTAAGTGAACAAAAACAAGCAAGCAAGCAAACAAACAAACCAATAACAACAACAAAAAACGATAAGCTAGTTGTCCCTGGACCCTTCTTTCCCATCCTCATGTATAAAGCAGTTGACCTGGTTGGTAAGTCATCAGAAGCCCAGGGAGAGAAGACACCAGCGCACTGGGGACTACACAAAGTTGTGGAAATAAGAATCTGCCCCAAAGTTGCAAAGAGCAGCACAACTTCCAAGTTTGGGGCATTTCTAGACTTAACTTCTGAAGTGAAGTAGCCTTTGGTGGGAGGGAGTCAGTGTTATTCCATGCCCTTATACATTGAAAAAGAAAGGCCCGACCCATCATTTTTGTCATGAATATCACAGGTAAGCTGATGTGGCCCTAGAAATCACAATCAGCATGTTGACAAGTGTGCCAATGTTGCTAATTTTGTATATGTGTGTGAGTGTTCGAGAAGCAAGATTTAGAGAGTTGATCTCCAGCTTTTCTAGCTAATCAGTTAGTAACCATGATTGTACTTCAACGAGGAAATCGGAATGAATTACTCCTAATGAAAAACCACTGGTGCATATTCACTTTTTATGATTCCGATGTTACTTCTACACATTAAATGGACTTAACCCCTTACTAGACTTCAGACACTTGTGCCCCTTTTGGGACTTTTTGTTGTTCAAGTTTTCTTGGGATCTGCAACTTTAATATGCATGTCAGCAAAAATTTTACAAATTGGAAAACACCAGATTGGTTTTGCTTAATAGTAATTTTTTCTGGATTTTTTTTTTTCAAGTAACATATTGTGGAACTCACATAGACTCTTGGGCTACTATTTCAAAATACTAAATGATCTGGCTTGTTGCTTCTGAGCCCTCTCTTGTTATATTAGGCTGCTCCATTCACCCTGGTCTAGAGATAACAAACATGTATTATATATCACAATTATGGAGTCAAGGGAGCACAAAATCAAGGCTCTGTCAAAATGATTTTGAGTTTCCTTCCCCTTTTCTCTTTCTTGCTGTACTAGCGATAGGACTAGACTGAGAGCTTCCCACATATTTAGCAAGTGCCCTACCACTGAACTCCAACCAACTTCTTTATTTTGAGATAGGGTTTTACCTAGTTTCTAAACTTGAACTTGAGATCTTCCCGCCTTAGTCTCTAAGAAGTAGATAGGATTACAGGCCCATGCTACCAGGCCAATAGGGCTCTCAGCATCTTTAGCCAATAGCTTGATATGTTCTCACATGGTGGGTCTGCCTTCTTAGAACACTGAGACTGATTAACACCCTGACCTTTTGTCTTAAAGGCCCTGTCTCTAGGTAAAGCCCAGGGGGCATCAGTGTTTCTAAATACTGGGTGGGGTATGACAGAAGCCAGTCTGTTGATGGGTTTTGCAGCCTCTTCTCAGACTCTGACCTTGACTACTCTATGTTTGGTATATTAGGCCACCCCCTTCTCTGAGGTTTTGTGTCACCGTTTAAGCTGTTTGTTTAATTACACATTTGTTTTCATTGTTGATTTTTCTAATTTATAGGGAACACTGGCATGCCCTAGAGATCACTTTCTTTTCCTTGACAGAAAAAGAAAGAAGAAAGAAAAGAGTTAATTTTTGTTCAATATCTATTGAATGCTAGATACTTTGTTTCACTTAGTTATTCAATCAATTAACAGATTTTTTTTTCTTTATTGAGCGCTAGCTTTGTATTGGGTCTGAATCAGGACTTTTAAGAGGCCAACATTCTTTACATTCATGACATTTTCATTATGAGTAAAAAGAAAAAAATTAATGTGTAACACATAACATGGTTTAAAGGTACTGTAAAGGAAATTAAGATTGGGAGAGAAAAGTCATTGCTTTTATCAATTAAGATTTAGGTCAAATCAGGGAAGGCATTACTGCATAGATGTCAATTGAGCAGAGACTGAAGGGAGTAAAGGAAGTGAAAGTCAGAAGGGTTTTGAGGCAGAGGTCAGCAGCATATATACCCCAAGGTGAGAGCTCAGATTAAGTACCTGAGGCCAGGATGCCTGAAGCAGCCTTATCCAGGGGAGGAGGAGGTCAGGAGGGAAACAACAAGCCAGGTGATAGTCCTTGAAAGGTGGAAACTGAGCTGAGAAGCGAGTGACCTGACATATATTTCGAAACAGCCACTGCTGTAGTGTCACTACTTGGAAGACAAGTTGGTGGGCTTTGATAACAGTGTAGATAAAAGTAGGAGAATTTGCTAGCTGTGACATAGCCAGAGGTGATTATACTTGATATCTATAAAAGATTACCTTTGGCTGAATATGTGCTTTTCAAGATAACAAGCGTTTTAAAAGGTATTAAGGGGGGTGGGAATTTAGGAGAATTTAGACTTTAGATGACAAAACAACAGTTTCTTAGTCCTCATATAAAACAGACAAAACAACATATTAAAGCAGAGCAAACAAACAGAAAATCACCGAACACCCCAAGGAAGCACATTTTTGGGACATTATATTCTTTAGCTTTCCACAATAGAGCAAATGACACTAGCAAACAAATGCTCATGACCCTGAAGTATTTGCAGTATCAGCATCAGGAATCATTGAGGCCTCCAGAGATCTCCAGAATAGCCCAAGGTGTTTGCTGGAAGATCTGGCCAGTCTGGTGAAGGACAGCAGCTAAACAGATGGGATATTTCTTTCTTCCAAAGCAGGAGAAAGCAAGAGGCTCCTAATATGGTGAGTGTTGGAGGAAGGAGAGAATGAGGAACTAGATTGACGGACCTTTGAAAGAAAAACGGCCTAAGGAGACTCCCCTTCCAGGAAAGAGATCCACAGTGAGAACGAACTACTGAGGTGAAGCATAGTTGAGTAGACAAGAAGCAAAGGCAAAGGAAAGTCAGCTAAGAGTATGATCTAACTGGAAAAGCTGTCTTAAACCACCTCAAAATCTTCAGAAAACAAATTTTACAGAAACATTATCTCAAAGTATGTGAATCAAGGTTTGAAAAAAATGCAGTGAGCAGGCTGGGGAGAGCTCAGTCTGTACGTGCCTGCTGCATAAGGACAAGGATCTGAGTTTGCCTCCTAGACACACATAAAAAGCTAAACACAATGGCAGCTATCTATGAACCCAGCCCTGGTACAAAGCTACCATAGCTGAACCCTAAAATTCCAGGCTCAGTGAGAGACTTGATCTCAAAAAATAAGGTGTAAAGCAATAGAAGACACCCCACTTCAACATCTGGCCTCCACATGAACTCATACTCACACACAGATGCATGAACACATGGACACCACACACGCACGTACACATGCATGCACACACACACTACAAAGAAATGAAGAGAGTTGTAATGAAAGGGAATAAAAAGGAAGCAACATTCCTACAGATGACAAAACACACCAGAGAAACATACCCACTGAGCAGATCAAAACTGCTGTTTCAAAGGGAATACAAAGGTCTGAAAGAACACAAAATGGTAGTGTTTCTGAACTAGAAACATTATAAGTGAGTGGAATTAGAAATGAGAAGAAAAAATCATTTTCAAATGAAAAACTAAAAGACCTCAAGGATGAATAATAAATAGAATTGAAGTTGCCTTAAAGAGTACAAAAAGAGAAGAATATGAAAAAGCAGCGAATTGGAAAGGCAGAACAGATAGGGGGCTGTTACCATTCTCTTTCTGTTGCTGGAATAAAGACAGCATGGCTAAGAGCAACTGGGGAGGAAAGGGTTCATTTCATTTTATAGCTTGTGGTTCATCACTGAGGTAAGTCACAGAAGGAAGTTAAAGCTGGGACTTAGAATCAGGCCATGGAGGAATGCTGCTTTCTGGCTTGCTTCCCATGGCTTGCTCAGCCTGCTTTCTTACAGAACCCAGAGGTCACACTAACTACAATGGACTCGGCCCTACCTCATTAATCAGCAATCAGACTTGCTCATAGGCCAATCTGACAGAAGCATTTTCTCATTTGATGTTCCCCTTTCACAGATGAACCTTGCTTATATCAAGTTGACAAGAAATTCACTGGTCAGTTTGACACAAAACTCATCACTATTAAACCATAACATTTCCTTTCTTGTTTATCCCCAAGGTATCATGTTAATATATAATATAGTGTAACTTTAAAAGTCCCAAAGTCTTTTCAAAAGACAAATACTTTAAAAGTTCAGTTTCTTTAACCAGTATCATTTTTAAAAGTCCAAAGTCTCTCAACTTTGGGTTCCTGGTAAATAAAAATAAGTAAGTTAAATACTTCCTTACTCCAAGAGGGGAAAAGGGTAC